CACACATTTAACAACAAAACCCTAAAAACTTTAGTAATAGTTAGTAGTAACCTAGGTTTACTAAGTGTTATTAGTTTAATTTTTACTAAATATATATATATATATATATATACACTAAGATAAGAAAACAACTTCAATTTAAAAAAATAAAGAATAAGATGTATCTAATTTCAAACAATCTTTTTTTTTTGAAGTTTTTATCTTATACTTTTACGTAATGCTTTTTTACCTATTACTCATGATTATGTATTAAAATTATAGCTGGGTGATTAGTGGAGTTTGCTGATCGATTAACCAACAAGCTCATTAATTGATTAGTACATGCATGCTTCCTACCAGCATGTCCGTACAACACAAACAAAAAAGGAGCCTGTACGTTATCTTCATGACTTATTCAGACAGTATTTTATTTCTACAGAATTGTTTTTACACAAACATAATACTTGACGTATGAGTCACTAATGTCAACTAAACATCACCAATATGTGGTCAAACATTGTGTTTCTGTTTAAAATATGTAGTAATCCTTCACTAGTTTGCTGTAAATAAAATGATGGAGACTGTATTATGACAAGTATAATCATATTTAACTTTTACTATCATCATTTATCAGTAAGATTGATATTGCTTTTATTTCAAACAAAAATCATTAAAAGTAACTTGTTGATATCTGGTTCTTTGTTTGAAATTATGATGTTTTTACTTTTTGATAGATATACCATGGTTTTATTGAGTTGTAATGCTTATAAACATGAGTTTATTTTATGTTTACCAAATAAGGTTAGTTAAGTTTACTGTTTGGCAACATGGCAATTATGGTAGACAAGTGCAAAACGTTCTGGTGATTGAAATCTTTATTGAATATTATTTTTATGTTTATCTTATTCAAATGACATATAATATTAAACCTTAATAACTCTCCAGTCGTGTGACTCGTTTGCTTCATATTGTGTATATCTCTTCCTGTGTCTGTGTAAGCTACTTGTACCCGGTAATTGCAAAAACCTTCTCCAAACATTGTACATTTGTTACTGTGTTGAACTTGTAATAAAGTTTTCTTTGTTATTCATTCAACCTTTTTATAAAACGTATTAGCTTATCTTATCCCAAGTTATGTGACCTCCTCTCACTGAAGAAAGTTTCTGTAGCTTTCAAACACCCAAATTCTTTCACAATTCACAGATGAAAAGGACTGAAAGGGCAGAAACTATTAAAAAAATTTAAACCTATATATTTACTATTATGTGACAGACTAATTCTTGCTCTATCTGTAGTATGCAATCTTATTTAAATTTTCTTTATGGATGTTTTTCATTAGTAAATGATCAAACCACTTGATATGGTACCATAACAGGATTTCAAACAAGGTCTGAGACCTGTACAAAAACTAAGGGAAGCACAAATAAAGTATTTCTTTGTAATGGGCAAAACATTCTAAACAAAATTGATGAATGAGTTGTTTCATTTACAGGCAAAACTATCTGCAGCTGTGTAGAATTGAAATATTAATTGTTTTTCATAAATTACACTAAGTAAATGTCAAGTGGAAAAATGTAAAAACCAGAGCAGTAATTTAGAAATAAATTACTTTTTAATTATAAACTTTGTGCATGAAAATATCATATATACAAGGGAACTGCATTGTTTAAAATTTAGAAACAATAAAATATTTATTCACTTATCAGTAACCTTTTCCAACAATACTGTGTAGAGTGTACTCTTTTTCCAAATTTGTTATTCCAGACAATTCAGTATTGTTTCACATGTTAAACATGTTCACAAAAATGTTTGGGACTTAAGTGTTGTTTCTGTTGTTACAACCATATCACATATACAAAATAATACAATGTAGAAAAAGAACATTTATAAATTATTTAAAATTACAGAAGCTAAGAAACATAATCAAAATTATGCATTAGAATGTAAAAACATAAATATCATAATGTTTAAATCCTCACTTAAGAAAATAACAATTTAACATCAGTTAATGACTAGTTCTCACAAAGCATCAGCAGTTAACAATGTTAAATATTGCAGTTAACCCTATCACTCTGGATACCCTTTACTGCTCATGACACAAGGTTTTAGTGTCTTACATTCAAAATTTTATTAAACTAATTTTTGTTTATGTTATTCCAATTAGAATAGCATAAAATCTTAGCTAATAATTCATATTTTAATACCATATAAGTTTTAAGTTCTTAATTCTACGAGGCAATATTTGAAAAAATCCAGAATTTCCACTAGTGTGATTCATGCGACACATTTTCTCGTAGCATGTCATCTACTCTATTTTATCCAACACCCCTCAAACAAAGCATAATTTTTATAGCCTTCAATTTTGTTTGGTTACAGAGCTATCAAATAAAAAATCAGACCCCCCCCCCTGCCACACCCACTTGTCACATCCTCTCTTTCACAATTCGTTGATAATTCTCTCTTACGTTTCATTACATATTACCT